AAAGCTGCAATATTGATTCGGAACACTGGTCTAAACATGCAATTCACCCCACAACTTTCCTCGAACTATGTCACTACCGGATCTTTGGTCATTAATAATACTGTTATTTTCATATCATCAATCTACTGCTCCCCACTTGAGCATATAGATTCACTTATCGACGACCTCGACAGAATCAGTAAGACTGTGGCTGACCGCCCATGGGTTATATGTGGTGATGCTAACGCAAAGTCTTTCTTATGGCAAAGTCCGAGTGAAGATCCTAGAGGCTATCGCCTACAAGAATTAATTGCAGCCCTGAACTTAACCTCCTGTAATTCCAGTCCGCTCCCCACTTTCTTCTCTTCGAGAGGAGAAAGTTGGATTGATGTCATTCTGGCAAACTCCTCTATGGCACCTACGGTAAGTTTCTGCTCAACTCTCGACATTACTAGCGCCAGTGACCATCGTTACATAGAAACCCACATCAATCTCCAGGTTCCAAACAACAAAAATGTTACCACCGGATTCCGCACCCACTGGCCGCTCTTCAGGGATCTCATTCGTATCAACTGGTACACCAATACTCCCATCGTTGAAATGAGCGAAAGCGAAATTGATAACACCGTGCAACAGCTCAGTGAGACTATTCTTTACTGCCATCGAAAAGCAAGTACCAAAACAACCAAGAAAAGATCCAATGTCCCTTGGTGGGATGACGATCTAAACAAACACAGGCTGGAAGTACGAAAACTTCGCAAAATTTATTTTCGTCAAAACAACATTCACCTGAAGGCTATTCAAAAGGCCCAATACATTGAAAAATTTAATTCGTATAAGACTTTAATTAACCGGAAAAGGAATCAAGCATGGCGTAAATACTGCAACCAATTTAACACTCCTTGGTCAGATCCTTTCTATGTAGCTTTCAAAAAGAAAAGCAAGAATAACACACTCTCGGCTGTCACAACCAGTGATGGAAGCTATACTAACACTTTGCCAGATACTATAAAAGAGCTATTTAAATATCATTTCCCAACGACGATGAAAGTACCGATAATGAGTTCCACCACCAAACACGTAACAACTACAGAGAACCACCTGATGAACCAGATGACGACCCATTCACGTTCTGCGAAGTTTCCCATGCGATCAATTTAATTAATGTTCATAAGGCACCTGGCATCGACCAGATATCTGGAAAAATGGTAAAAGAAACATATAAAGCTATTCAGACAACCTTTGTAGCTATTTTTAACCGATTCCTTCAATTGGGTTACTTCCCTCAACCGTGGAAGCTTGCATCAGTGAAATTCATTAATAAGCGGCCTGACGCTTTACCTAAACAACCAAAGGACTACAGGCCAATTAGTCTTCTGTCAATCATTGGGAAAGCTCTGGATAGACTAGTCAATAACAGAATTCTTCGTTACCTAAGAGCAAAAGATACACTCAGCCATCATCAACACGGGTTCACTCCGGGGAAATCGACCATCACAGCATTAACTAACATCGTTGAATATATTGAACAAGCAAAAGAAAATAGGAAACACACGCTTTTAATATCAATAGATTTTCAAGGCGCATTCGACAACTTATGGTGGCCAACAATTCTAAATCAACTTAGAACATACCGCTGCCCACGCAATCTTTTTCTCATCACCAGCAGTTTCCTGAAAGATCGTTACGCCGGCGCGTATTTCAACAATTACCAACACATTCACCAAGTTTCCAAGGGCTGCCCCCAGGGCTCGATTGCTGGCCCTGGGCTTTGGACGATAGTACATAATGATCTTCTCTCTTCACTCAATGACAGTAATGTTTTAATCCAGGGTTATGCGGACGATACCGTTATCCTGGTATCAAATAAAAACAGTGACAACCTTCCTATTATTGGAAATGACATCTTGAACAGGGTGGCAGAGTGGAGTAAAAATGTCAAACTTCCGATAAATTACAACAAATGTTCCTACATTATTTTTGCCAAACAAACCCCACTCCAGAGAAGCCCAAGAATTGAAATAAATGGACACAAGATACCCAGAGTCACAGAATTTAAATATCTAGGCGTTGTTCTAGACCAACAACTACAATGGACAAAACATGTCGAAAAAGTTAGTGCAAAAGCGGCCCAAGTCTCCAACGCTCTATCAAGTATTGCGAAAAAATACATGGGGAGTGGGTTATACAGCGGCCCGCCATATTTACCTAGGAGCCATTGAGCCGATACTTCTTTACGCCTCGCCAATTTGGGCCTTAGCCACTAAGAAAATTTACATACAGAAAAAACTCCTAAAAGCGCAGAGGGTCGCTGCTCTTCGCATATGCCGAGCTTATCGAACTGCCCCAACATCGGCTCTCCTTACGATCGCAGGCCTAATTCCAGCTCATATCAAAGCAAGGATGAACATGTGGATTTGGCATATCAATAATCATATGGTTGATACTTGTACCAAGTGCAATGACTTTCTTACCTTAATAAACGAAGACCTTAAAAATGACCTAATGCTTTACAAGATAGAAAACAAAAATTATGACATTCAAAATAGCCATGAATATCCCTGGCTTCGAGACTATCGCCTACCACAAACTGAAAATACAGATATTTCAATTTACACAGATGGCTCAAAGAACAAGGATGGCGTAGGAGCGGCTTTTCTTCTTATAAACCACAGCAACAATCAGACGCACAGATCTGCCTTTAAACTTGGACCACACTGTACAGTACCACAAGCAGAAATTCTGGCAATTACAAAGGCAATAACCTACGTGAATGAAGAGTGGTTTCATCGACAGCGTGACATCTGTATTTACACTGACAGCCTTACCGCCCTCAACTCCATTTACACCCCTTTTAAGCGTGGTGAGAACATACTTAAAATTCATCGCATCCTTAAAACGAATAGCCATCAGCACACTTATTCCTTCAAATGGGTCCGTAGCCACTCCGGCATCCCTGGGAATGAGGCTGCCGATCAGCTGGCTAAGAAGGCTGCCAGCTCATCGCTAAAGTACAGCTACACTAAGATTCCGAGCTCTATGATCAAGTCTTGGGCCTATGATTTGGCCTTAACGCATTGGCAAAAGGAATGGGACAATTCCACTACTGGAAGAATAACGTATAAGTTTTTCCCGGACATTAGGGAAAGGTTCAGGTGCAAATTTTTCGTCCCTAACTTCCGTTTAACACAACTTCTCACAGGACACGGTAACTACAACGCCTACTTAAAAAGGTTTAACCTGAAGGACAGTGACACTTGCCCATGCAACGGCACAGCGGTTCAAGACATTAACCATTTCTTGTGGGACTGTAAACTTTTTGAACATCAAAGAACTGCACTAATAGGTAAAATCCTCAAGAACAACTACAGTTGGCCTTGCCACCATAAAACACTTATCCAGAAGCGAGAATCTTACATCGCAGTCAACAAGTTTTTAAAAGACACTGCCGCCCTGGATCCGTTCCGTGTAAGGATACCTGAAGACCCTCATGCCACCAAACAAAATTAATACAGGGACAAACTTTCCCTTCATTGTACCCCAGTCTTACTCTCAAAAATTCTCTACTATGCAAACTCTCCAGTGTTCTCCCGGCTTCATCATTAAGTTATCTCTGCAATGTAATCTTCTATGTAATTGATCAATGTATACAGCTCTTTCACTCTTTGCCACTGTATTCACTGCTACTACTGTACTCGGCCACAAAGCACTGCCATTGTAAATAATATTATGTACATAAGTTTGCTATCGTGCTTTATTTTGTAGCCCGAGCTGGGCATTCTGTCAGAGAGCTAAATTTACATTATGCTTTCTCCAAAAACATCTGTCTAATAAATAAATTGCCATTTTATTATCATTTTCCATGTTAATAGTTTATTATAGAAGAATTTATCTGCATTTGATATTTAAGGCTTCTTAAAGTATGCTAGTGCAAGGAATACAAACTTAATGTTCTTCAAATTTTCTTATTACAAGAAGTTTTCTTTTGTCTGTACCAGTCATATTAGCACACACAAGTGTGGTTATTTTATCTTTTGCAAATTTTCCACCTTATACACTTCACTTTTAAACTTAAATGCCATAACTGGTAAAAGTTCATTTAAAAAATCCCAGTTTCATTGGTATAGTAAATTTCTTTATCTTCATATGTCTTGTAATTCTGGCCAGTTTTCAGTGTCTTGAAGATTTACATGTTTTGCTTCTCCACACACTTTTCCAAAACGTATTTCATGTCTTTGTTTAAAACAGTTTAATCGTCCATTAGAATGGTTAAAATTAGCATCACCTAGTAATCATCCAAATTGTTCTGTTTTTTGCATAAATATTGGTCCATTTAGCAGTAAATTGGCATTTCTGCATTGATTAAACCACCTAATTAACGAACCATCAATATATTTTTTTTCACTGATCCTTTGCCATCTTGAAAACGTTTTAAAAATTTTTTCTCAATGTAGAATTTATTAAATCAATGTTTCAGCACATATCTGCTTTTTTTCTTTCACTATCAACAGCTTTAATTATCACTACTTTATGGTGTAAAGTTTTAGCTTTTCTTTTTAAACTTGCTATTTTCACACACTCAATTTGACACTAAACTAAAACTCAGCAGTCCTAGCAAATCTATTGTTGATTAGTACTGTTGTGAGTGTTACACTTGTGCAGAAATGTGACACACCTACTAAGTCATTCTACGGAAAGGTCAGTTATTGGCCCATATGAATAAAAACAAAGGAAATGCTAAAAAGCATGAAGTAGAAGTAAAAGCAAATGCTTCAAGCAAAAGATAGAATCAAGTGCATTTCTTCTGTTTGGTGTGAATAATGATTACCTTACACTTCCGAGCAAATGCTTTTTGCTTGGAAGTATAAGGTATATTTATTTTAACCAAGTTCAATCAGTTGTACTTGGTTAAAATAAATATGAATGGTTGTAAAAATATGTTTAAAAATGTTTACTTGAATTGTGTAATTTGTTTTTTTAATACGTTAATATTTATTTTGGCAAAATTTGAATCTTTTCAGAAGACTGCCATGTACAGCATCAGATGTATTTTCATTTTGTTGGACTTTATTTATTAGAGTTAAAGGTAAGTAGTTTTAAAGGTATATATGATAGAAATTTATTAATCTAGCACTTACAGGATCAGTGTCTGGATTACCAGATTCTTTTATACTTTTGCAAAATTAAATAAGTTATACACAGTTTTGAATGTTTTAGATATTTCTTTACATTTTTTACCAGTGCATACTGTTGTATGCTTCCAATTTGTTAGGAACATTTTTTAACCCCCAGGGAGTTACGTGGTTTCTACTATGTCCAGTAGTCATGGAATCTGTTAAATTCCATTTTTTAATCTAAAATTCTGTAAATTTGGACATTATATCAATAAAAAAAAATTACCTTTTGTCCACTTTCTAACCATATAAAAACTTTTAATTGGGTAATAATACAATTTTTAAAATTATTTTTATGTAATTTGATCTAAAATATTAAAAATAAAATATCAAATTTTAAATAGCCATCTGTTAGTATTGAGGCACAATTCTGTAGAATTTTATTAAGTAAACTTAACATTTAAATTAAAAAGTGGAGTGTCAAATGTGGAATAAAAAGAACAGAAGTGCAAGAGAGGATTCAAAAAAGAGTTTGATTGGAATGAAAGTTTTGGGTTCAGAATGTTAGAATCAAACAAATTAGTGTTTTATCATTTTCAGAAAGAAGAGAATAGTTTTCTTCTGATAGAATAAGTTTTGTCAGGACACAGTGGGGAAAATGTAAAATGTAAAGTTAGGTTGAAACACAATTTGGATGCTGCAGGCCAAACCTTCTGATCATTCAGTGTTATTTGAGATAAAGTCACATTGTGTGTGTATCTGATATATAGTGCTGTAGAGCTTTAGGGTATTTTTCTTGTATATACAATTATCGTGGAATCTGTATTGAACTAAACAGTTGTCTTGTATTTTTATCATATCAATGACTGAAGATTGTTTCATTGACTTTTGTTTTTTGGAAATGTGACTCCATTCAAAGTGTTAAATTATTGGGTTGTTCAGAAAGTAATTTTTTTTTTTTTTTTTTTTTTACCACTAGACAGATTAGTTGTATTTTTCCCACCATTTTCATTCTAAATCATATTATCACTATATATTTTGACAGCTAGCATTTTAAGGCNTAAGTAAGTTTTTTTTTTTTACCACTAGACAGATTAGTTGTATTTTTCCCACCATTTTCATTCTAAATCATATTATCACTATATATTTTGACAGCTAGCATTTTAAGGCTTATTTGTAAAAAATTTTGTTTGATTTTGTGCAATTGTTTATTTTTTGTGTCTCATCAAATATGGAAGATTGAATGCAGCATTTTCGGCATATTTTGCTCTTTTATTATCGAAAAGGTAAGAATGCTGTTCAAGAGAGAAAAAAATTGTGACGTGTATGGAGAAGATGTGTTGACAGAATGACAGTGCTAAAACTGGTTTACAAAATTTTGTTCTGGCAATTTCAATATTGAAGATGCACCACGTTCTGGATGGCCAGTTGAAGCCAATGAAAACAAAATAAAGGTACTGATTGAAGCAAACTGCCAAATAACAACACGTGAAATTACTAAAAGATTAAATTTTTCAGATTGAACCGTTTATGATTACTTGAAACAAATTGGTTTTGTTTCAAAGCTTGATATATGGGTTCCACATGTTCTTAAGGAGAGATGTTCTCTTTGATGGGATTTATGGGAATTTTTTTTAGAGCTTTTACCAGACAATTTAACAATTGATTTGAAAGTGTATTGCCATCAAGTAAACAAATTGAGTAATACCATCAAACAGAAAAGGCGGCCAGAATATCAACAAAACAGGTGTAGTGTTTTACCACGATAATGTCAAATTTCACGCAAGTTTGGTAACTGGTCAGAAACTGTTATAACTTAGATTGCAAAATAGATGGAGTTCTTATCATAATGGCCACACTTTTCAGTTCATTCCTAATATAAATTATTTTTATTATCTATAATGGTTCTCTGCAAACTTTTACACTACACAACTGCTCACTAACCATTGAAAGTTTGCAAGCTACTTATGCAGATTTATGAATAAGGAATCTCGCCTATGCCCACTATGTCAAGTTGAAGATGGTGCCCTACATTACATTTACGACTGCGTAGCCCTGGAACAAGAAAGACCGGAACTTATTTTCCTGTTCCAGGAATGAAATATTATCTGGCTTTGTGTTCCTTCTAAAGAGCGAAGATGTCTAGCAAGCATTCAATAGACTAGCGAAGAGGTTCTATTGTTTTTCACATATCACCATATACAATTGAGGACTTGCTCTTTGGTGTTATGTCACCCATCCTTAATTTTATTTTTATATAAAAATACTTATTCTATTGATAATTTGTTTTAAAATGTGTAAATATAATCTTTCTGTATTCACCTGTCTGTTGACTAGTTTGTTGGCATATTATTTTGTTATATTACGAATTATTTGTAGGGATGCATTTTGAGATGTATGAATATTATTTGTAATTATGTATAATTATCTATATACAGAATAATTGTCAACATTCCACTTTAAACATTACATTTTGTTTCTGTTTTATTTATGAAAATACTTATTTTAATGTAAATATTATTTATTTGCATTGTAAGGTAAATGCACCGGTAGTGGACACTGCGTTAGTAGTGGACACTTTGAACTTCAAATATGAGTAATAAGGTTGTTGATGGCTTCACTGTTCAAACATACAAATCATTCAGTAGACAGAACCCTCTTGTGGTGGTAACTCGCACTGATCCTTTTCTAGTGCATCATGGGATGTTTTCCCGCGCTCATTAGTGATGGCATTCCTGCTGATATAAGAAGACAAGTGAGTCTGCTGTCTGTTTCCTTAAGGTCTAGGTAATTTAAATCACGCTTGCTGTATTAACAGTTAGTTTCACGGAAGTTTTTTGGTGATATACTATTAATATGAGCTTCGTTGGTATGTTTTAAGACCTTCCTGATAGTATTTTTATTTTCCAAGTCAATTGAATGAGATGTCCACTAATGAAACAAAAATATCGTATATTTTTAGTAGTGGACAAGAGGTGGCCACAACTAGTGAAAATGAACTTTTCACTTTTAATCAGTATCAAGTCAAAAATTAAATCACCTAATGTTAAGTAACATACAGTATTGATTCAAGCATTTTTTGGTTACTCTGTCTAGTCATGGACAGGGGGTGTTCACTATTAAACCGTGAATGTCCGTTTATTGAAATGAGGTGTTTCAATAGTGGACAAAACATGGTTTGGTGCCATGGGATCCTACAGCACCCGGTATGCTAAGTAGGAAAATAATGTGCAAGAAGAAGTCAGACAGTACTCTCACGAAAAGTGATGTAAGAGTTGGTTTTGAAACATTAAAAATATACATGGGACCTGAGAAAGTGGGGTTATTTGAGACTGTAGTTTCTTTTGAAGATGTTGAGGCTACAGACAAGTCCCTGTTCAATTTATGGCACCAGATGAAGACAGACATCATGAATCAAGTAACAGCTGGAAACAACAGCAAATCCTTCAACAATAATGAATCAGAACATGAAGATTCGACGGTTGAAACTTCAAATCAATCGCAGCCATGAGATAAATGATGTCAGTAACACCAGTGCATTTAGTGATTCATATATTCATGATATTCATAATGACTACCACTATCAAAATGAAAGACCTAGTACTTCAAACACTGGCAATACCATTGTTGCCACAAGTACACACAATAGCCGCAATAACAGTCAGATCTCTGAAACAGTACCTAGTCCTTTCAAAAGGTCACTTCTCTGGTCAGAACCCAGGGAAATCACTAACAAAAGGAAGAAAAAGGAAATCATACCTTCTGTAGTTACGTCAAAAGCTTGGCAGGAATATTATGAAAATAAGGAAAAGAAGAAAATAGTGGAACTAGAACTGAAAAGGGAGAGAGCTTTGGCAAGACAGAGAAAGAAAGAACAACAGACTGCTGAGAATAAAAGGAAAGCTGAAGAGAAAGCTATGAAAATGAAAATGAAGACTACAAAGCAACGAAAGAAGAAAATGAGAAAGGAAGAGACATCATCAGAAGATGAAGGTTCTTGGATTCCCTCGGATGGTGGTAGTACAAACGATGTTACGTTAGATGTAGAAGACACTATGGAAGATGAAGAAGAAGAAGACGACATTATGCAGTTTCAGGAAAATATTGAACCCCCTTCAAACGAAACTATTGGACCAAGTTCAGCAATTAAGGAATCGAAAGATACAGAAGAAAGGGGAGAAAGTATTGAAGGGACTTTAAATTGGACTCGGAGGAAGGATATGTCCGAAAGACACAGTCGGAATACCATTGAAAAGGAAAGGGAATCAAACATCCTGCATGAGAATGATTTTGTAGTTGCCACCTTGTCTGGTAAGAAAAGAAAGTACAAATGTGTGTGCAAAATTACCAGTTTAATCAGTGATAATATCGCAGAAGTGATTGTGTTTAATTCCATAAATAGGATGAAAAGCGTATTTGCTAAAAATGAAAAAGATGTACAAACGATAAATATTTCTCAAATTGACTTGAGGCTTCCTAAGCCTCTAATTTTTGGAAGAGAGAGTCACTGTCAATTCTCGAAAGGCATTGACATAGATAAGTAGTTCAACACAAATTAACAATGCAACAATATTTCCTTAAACTATGCTGACGTTAATATTTGAGTTCTCCTAAATGTAACTTAGAACCCAGTTTTATACTATTATTTTTAAGTGTTTAATATTGAGTGTAACAATAATCCATTCCAGTATGTTAAAACTGATCTCATTTATTTCAACATTTGTATTCGTTAAGAATAATGTAACAATAACAAAATAAGAAAGTTTCTTATACTAACTTTGTAATGTTTTATATTTATGTTTCATAATACTTATTAGTTCAATTTTCATATAAACATTACAAACTATACACATGTAATTTACATTTGTACAATTTGATATTTTAATTAATTTAATTAAATTATGAGTTGTCATTATAATTAACAGTGTTCTTGTTCTTTATAGTAAAGACTGTCAAATTCTGCAAGTTGTGA